AATAAATCTTAAAAAAAAAGTTTAAAAGGAAGGAAACAACTACATTTGGTATATCCATTATGTTACATTGGCACAGCCTGAGAGTAGCTACTCTCATTCACCACTGTGAGAAAGCCAGGGCAAGCCTATGTTGACCACTAGTTGGAGAAACATTGTTTAATTTCAGAGCTGGGTCAGCAAGCCTGTGAAATCTGCCTCACCCCCATTAAAGAGTCAGTGGTGGCATCTTTCTCTGCATCCAAGAAACTGACTCCTGAGTCATACATTAAGATGTGAAAAAAAAAAGTATCTTAGAATTGATAAGACATATTGCATAGTTTTTCTTTTCTTTCTAGGATTTATTTATTTCTGCATAAAGAACTGGGGTACAGGTCAGAGGGGCAGGGGTGGTATGAGGATTCACCAGAGACAGAGTGGGGAGCAGAACAGGCAGATCAATGAAGTAGATCCATGAAGTACACTGCTGAGGGGAGCAGCGGGCGGGTCAGGAGAGGTCTGCAGCACCATGTGGTCACCTCTTGGGCGGGGACTGAACTCATGCAGAAGTGGCTTTAGCTTCTTAGTGTTGTGCTTTAACCCGCTGCGCCACCAGGGAGGGCCCATAGTAGTACATAGTTTAAGGTGATCCTTAACATTTATAAAGAGTTCTACTAATTTGAAAGAAAATAGTTTTTCAGAGTGTGACAATTTTAACTAGAATTTTGAGAAAGATAATTTGAGAATTTGTAGTAAATCCCCAAAATCTCTAAATCCTTTGCTAAAATAGTTCTACTTTAAGAAACTTTCCCTTAAGACAGTCACAGGGCAAATGTGATAAAGGAAGATCACCATTGCACTGACTGCATTAATTAAACCTAGAAACATGTAAAATTTAAAAGTGAAAACTGAGTAAATAAGATGTATTTCCTTATAACAGAAAGACCAGAGACCCTAAAAATGTTCATGGTATGGTAAATGAACACAACAGGTCACAAATCCATGAAAAAAAGTATCAGAAAATATATGTACAGAGACAAATAATATAAAAGGAGTTTCAGGGAAAATTCTGAGAAATGAAAAGATAAATTTTAAATTAAAAATATCTCCTTCAACATACATCAATTTTCCTGATTGAGAGACCACACCAGTTCCCCTACTGTAAGAAGAAAACAACTCATACGAAGGCACATAGCAGTGACACTAGAAACCTCTGGGGAGAAAGAAAATTGTACAGGTTTATAAAAGGGGGGGAAATGATCCAGAATAAATGTTTTTTAATTATCCTGACAGAAGACAACAGAAGAAATGTTTCAAACTTTGCAGAAAAACAATTTTCATGAAGCGAATATCCTTTGCCTATTCAAACTATTAATTATGTGCAACAAATGAAGACATTTTGAAAAATGAAACACTCAATTTACACATGTATCCTTCCTTAGGATACTAGTAGAAGCTGAGTTTCCCTCAGTGAGAATAAGGCAAGGCAGTGGGAACTGGTCACTGGAAGCAGGGGATCCAACCCAGGATACGGGGAAAAGACTCCATGGTGGTGCGCAGGAGGTCTCACTATACCTGTACCCAGGTGAACAAGTCAGGTGAGAGTAAGTCAGAGGCTCCCAAAGAAGGCTGCAATGAGGATGACCTACATGACCTTCACAGAAATGTGATGTCTCCCAGTTTCCTGAGAGGAGATTTAGGTAACTAAGCTAGAATTAGTAACTATCTAGAAGATCAAGAAGTGGCTACTAAATCCAGGGAAAACAAGAAATCTAGCAGGAAAGGGCTATTCTGGCTCAGCTGTGAACAGTGTTTACAGTAGCCTAAGGTCAATACTGGTTATTGTTCTAACCCCAAATATAGTGGGAGACAGGAAATATACATGTAAAATGGGAGTAGTGAAGAGGTAGTCTAAGACAGCTAAAACTTCATCTCTCAGAGTGGGAAGTGAATGGATAATGACTATAGTTGGAGAGAAAAGAAATCAAGAAACAGCATTCTTAACATGTTTCATAAAGCCCTAGAGACCTTTCTGAGTACCTCTAGAGATGGTGGGACACATTTATATTTCTGCCAGCAGAACTATGACCTTTAAAACATGTGCACAAATAGCTCTGTTTGCCAGTTAATTCATAGTTCATGATGGAATTAAATAACTGCTTATTTCTAGTGATGGGCCTGTAGGCCATTTACATTTTCTTACTTCACTTTTCTTTGTTTTGAAAAAGTCTGGAACCTATATGATCATTAATCAGAAAACAAGAGTCAATTTACTTCATACCTGATCAAGTCTATCTTGAGGCCCATCCCTGACACTTCAGCTCAGTTTGCTTGCTGGAGCCAGGGAAAGCCTGCCACCGCCTTCCTTCACACAAGAAATATTTGGTGATTTCCCATTAGCCCAGAAGGTGATTCCAATACCTTCAGCTTTACATTGGGTCTCCTCAAGTTCTCAGTACCAGCTGAAGAACTGATCTGAGGGATGGGCTAAGCCAATGCTTCTCAAAATTTCTGTGCACTGAAGACAGCTAGGATTAAGTCAGCAAGCCTGGGGTCTGAGCCTCTGGAGGTACATAAAGTACCCAGGTCTTGCTAAAGAGTCTCAGAGGAAGGGAGACTTCTGTCACTCTGCACCATGCAGCTTCCATTCTCTACCTTTATGTAGGATGGATTTCAACTCCACTGTATTTAAGGAAAGTTTGGGAGATATTGTGGTAATACACTGTTTAGACAGTTTTAAGGGAGGCCCCTTAGTAGCAAAGAGCAGGGCCCCAGAGACAGAAAGGTTTGGGTTTGAATTCCAGTGCCATTACTCACAGGTATGACTTAACTTCCCCTCTCTATGCCTCAGTTTCTTCACATGTAAAACAGATAATAATTGAAGCCACTTTCATAGGGTGGGGTTGTTATGTGGATTATATGATGGCACCAAGGTATCTAAAGGGTTTGATCAGATCCAGGCACAAAGAGAAGACTCACTAACAATGACTACCATTAGTTGTCAACAAAGCTCAAATCCTTTCTCAATCGAGAAGGGTTGGCTGAGACTTTAGGGGAGATTCCGTGACCTCTCAGCTTCCATACTCTGAATGAGAGAAGAAAGCACCATCTTGCCTCCTCCAGGAACTTACTGAATCTAAACCAGCGTGTGCACAGCACCAGGTAAGAGCCCCTCTGGTCCTTAAAGAGATTTAAACCCTCATATTTTACTCAGGGAGCTTTTCCTGATTCACTTTAAGCTAACCCCCAAAAAGATGACTAATAAAAAGAAAGTCTTCGCTCCCTTATCTTTGGAAAGCTTGCTTTTAGGAAGGCTACGTGGAGATCAGGCAGAGGAGACACCAGGCGTTCCAGACACTCTTTAACACAAACTCAAAGGCCCCAAGCATCCTAATCCCAGAATCAATCACCCCACCAGAGGGTCCAGCACGTTGAGTTTCTCAGACAATCGATATCTTAAGGGTCACGAACCTCCAGCCAACGCGAGAGCGCGGCAACTGCACCTAGTGCCATTGTACCTGGTTCTCCGAAAGAGGTTCTCGGAGTTTTGCACTTTAGGGAGAAGACTAGGCTGAGCAAAGGCACCAGAAGATTTGAGCGGGCTCCATCCTCAGAGCAAGAGAAGTGCACGGTGCCGGGTTCCCTACTTTCCCCTCCCCTGTCTCCCGTTTCTCCTCGTTTCCCCTCCCCGTTTCCCTTCCTCCGTCTCCCCGAGCCCCCCAAGCCGCCGGGCACTTACGATCTCAGCCACGATGAGGAGCCCCGGCAGGGTGCGGAGGAACTCCCGGTCGTAGGCGAAGCTGCTGCTGCTGGTGGAGAAGTTCTCGGCGAACGAGCTGGTGGTGGTGGTGACGGTGTGCGAGCGGGTGCGCTGCGCCTCCTCCATCGTCGCGGCTCCGCCGGGGTCCCCCAGCGCGACCCGGACTGGGATCGAGGCGCGCCGCCTCCCGGACACCGGCGCGGAGGTGGGGGGAGGTGGGGTAGGGGGAGGGCGGCGCGCGGGGGG